ACAATAAAGTACACTCAAAGTTCATTTCTTTTACCGCTCTGCGACGCTCTCTCTTGCTTGGGTTGAAGCAAACGCAACGTGTATCACAGCGTCATTATTTTTCAGATTGGCAGAGCAGAAAATGTGTTGCACGTGATGCTGTTGAAATAACCCACCCTTGCACCACCGTCCCCCCTGTCGCCTCCGGCCGGTTGGGTCTCCCCGGCGTGTGGGGCATGTCCGCGCGGATTAGCATCGCGCAGTGGGAGTGGGGCGCGGTATGGTGCCCCCCGACCCGACCCGACCCCGGCGCAACCGCAGGGCACCAGCCGATAATTAAAAGGGCCGACATATTCACAGGGGAAAACAAGATATTAATCAGCACGAGCGAAATGACGAGTCGCCGCGCGCGGCCAACCGTGCCGCAGCTGCCACTGCTGCCTATGGCTATCTAAACATTAGAGAGCGCAAATGTGTTATGTTTGGCAAAGCACACATTTATGATGCGTTGCTCATACTCATCAAATTAAACGGTGTCTACCGAAGGTTGCACCTGCAAACCTGTGTTTGTGGTGTCGCACTCTATTTTTGTCGGTGAGTGATCGACATTTTCGCGCACGGAGGCAAGTGTGTGAATTTCAAAGGAAAAATCACACCTTTTACTCCCTTACTAGTGTACCAATGGGCAATCAAACACCTACAAGTGTGCGACATCCACGCATCTTACGGTAAAATAAGTTTCTTGAATTTCAAGACTCGGTCTTGGTCTTGGATGCCATCAGCGTTCTCCATAAGATCCAAGTCTTGAAATACAAGAAACTTTTTTTTACCGTTTAACAGGTGTGTGACATTCACACACCTACAAAGTACGCGACATTCTCACGCTTTCGTTTCCGGTGCGTGCGCTTGTTTCGTGCGAGGTTCATACACACCCCTCCGGATCGGGGTCACGTGTTCGTGATGCCGCCGGGCGGACGACCATTCTCCCCGACCTTTATTGCTCCTGCGACGGTCCGTAAATCAATTCTGGCCGCGCCCGCGCCTCCTCACCGCCGCTATGGCCACGCAACTCGGTCGCTCCAACTTCTTCCTCCGAGCAAGAGAGAACGGCAGGAAAGGAGAGGGGGGGGGGCGCACGCGGACGGGGATCCTGATGATGGCGGTGATGAGGGGGGAGGAAGGTAAAACTGCGCACTGCAGCGATCTCTTCTCGCCCGCATCCCGCGAGCCGAGATAAGCCCTATGGGCCCCCCAGTAGGCGTGGGCTTATAGCAGCGGCACGGCGGTGGTGTGGCTCGGGTATACCCTCCGCCTGCATCGCGCTGCACAACGGGCGAGCCCCACTCGCGCGCGCAAAACTTTTGCTGTAAAATTAATTTACCGCGACCGAAGGAAAAGCAGGCGCTGTGTTCGGCTCGGGGGCGGAAGACTGAGGCGGTGTTTGCGGGTTGCCTACGTTTCGTAAAGCGAGTTTTTCCTTTCAGGCCCGTGCCAAAAACTTAGCAGTCATTTAATTAAGTCTTTAAAATTTTCTTCTCGTTTTTTTGTTTTTCTCTGTTTTGAGCGATTATGTAGACCGTGTTTTCTCATTTAGAAAGCAATGTGCAATATTGAGCTGGCTGCTTTTCTGCTCTGCACATAAATACAAGGCTCCAGGTAAATGCTCTCGTAGCTATGCAGCGCGAGGCCCTCTGGTGTGGAGCCGACGACCCTGGGACGACTAGCAGCCAGCGCCGCTGTACTCACTCAGTCTCTCTCTCGCGACCTTGGCGACTGTTATTGTTTGTCAGGAATGTATGTGGCGTGCCGCCGGGCGGGCACCCTGTTTAGTGAATAGTGAGTGGAGGGAGTGGAGGTGAAAGGCGCCCTCCCGTGAGGCGGGCAGAGCGAGGCGGTATGGTGTGTCAACCTCGCGGGGGTAAACAAGGAAGAAATCCGCGAGGCAGGATTTTGCGTGTGCTTTTATACCCCTTTTGTAGGTGTCTGTTGTTGCGACACAAAATATGCGACAGCATAATATTTGCACGGATCAGATAGTTTTGCACTTTTGGCACACAATTCACTGTCGATGCAATGTGAATTCTTTTCTTTCGATCGAGATTATGTTTTGTTTGTAAAAAGAGTATCTCGCACCTTTGTCCTGGTTACTTACTCATTTCAAAGGAGTACATCAAAATTCCATTAACATCAAAATGTTTAAAATGCTTCTCCCTATTTCTCTTCCCACCTTTGCTTCTTTTACCGCCTCCGCTGTCCCTCCAACGACTCCTCCCGCCAGCCGCCTGCCAGACAGCTCGCTCGTAAACTTCGTCCCCGCGGCTCGTCGGGCCCGGCCCAAAGTGGGTACACACATTGCAAAAAGAAGACGCCATTTTTTGAAATTCGGTTTTCACCTGCATGGTCTTTTTTTACTATCCCGGCAAAAAGAAGTGAACAATGACGTGTGACATTTTAGGACGCGCTTTTATTTAAGCATTCTGTTGTCACACTTTTGCATGTGTGTGTGTAGAGTAGGGGTAGGTGCCATGAACATACAGCAATCGACGTGCGGGCCGACTTTTTTTATTGACAAATACCCGAGCAAATATCCGAGCCGATCGAGCCGGATCGGTTCCCGTCGAGGTTTCCGTGTGCCTACCCCCACTCTTCTCGGAGGATCGCTAGGACGGGCCGAACGAGCGAGCCCTCTCTCGCGTGCTCCGCCCGT